GTTTGTTTAAACTAGATCACATGCTCCCCTGACATAAACCCAATTACGCCAGTTGCTACTAAGATAGAGTTAACGAACAATTACGGATTCAATTACCTCTATTTAGCAAAATAGTCTAGATTAATAATTAATTATTGCGCACTAATCAATCATACATAAGGCTATAACAATTAAAATCAGGGAACATATAAATACTAATAAATGAAGAAAATAATTAAAAACGGTTTAGATCTCACAGTAATCGTAGAACTAATTCGTCAGTTGATCCCTCGGCTAGAATTAGGGGCTTAGTTTCCCATTAGTGGAGAATAGGCCGCGCGTGGAGAATTGGGAAAGATTTGCAGGTCAATTTTCCCTTGTTTCGGTCAATGCCAGGGGAAAGCACAAGGAAGCTTTATTGCTACCAGTTTCCCCCAAAGCGTATGAATACACTAATCTCACGTTTCTTTCCAATTCCAATCGGAATTGAGTAAAGAGTCAGGCCCACAAGGTGCACAATAGCGGCTGCTTTTTTATTCCTTTCTTCCCTCACAAAACGTACGAAGGATTGCCTTGCTTGTTTTCTTCATTCAATTTAATTGAGTCAATGGAGAATAGCCGATTGCTCAAGTCAACAGAAGATGGAAAAAAAGTAATAACGCAAAAGTCAATAATGGAGGCTTTTTTTTTTTTGTCTCTTGCTTTTCCCCTCAAAGCTGCGGCCAGCCTTCCCAAAAATAAGTAAAAACTCCCCTCTAACCTAAGCCGCGTGAGAGATAAATATAATCCCCCCATTAGCCGAAAAATTGTTACTTGTCTTTTTTTTTAAATTGCAGCCAGACTTCCTAAAAATATATTAAAATAAAATCTATTACAGTTAGGTCTCTTCTGCTCCTCAAGCGGGCCCCACGTTCGATGAATCTTCTAAAAATTGAATTTAAGCACTTTTCAGAAACCATTCCTGCAATTAAGCACCCAGAACAAAATATCAGTAGAATCCACCCAATTAAGGAAAATATTTAATCAATTAATTGCGCAATAATGTCCAAAATACCCGATAAAATACATCCTATCATATTCTTACCACATTGTTCCTTTGTTTTATTCTCAGTAATAAATATTCGGTTGGAGTTTGAAATATTTCAAAGTGTTGACAATGGCGAAATAGGTTTTACATTAAATACATCTTGTGTATTTAAGATGAGTATTGATCATTTGTCCCAGTATCAATCTTGATACTTGTGAAAATTGTATGATACAACTCAGTCACTTTCAGGTGAAGTGGTATACAATTTATGTCGTCTGTTGTACACTTGAATAGGATTGGATTTTTTATTTTAGCTAGATTAGATAGTAACTATTCTGTTCATGGTAGGAAGAAGCATAGTTCAGAAATTTGTTCTTTTATTTATCTGGCAGATTATCTACCAGACTAGCATATCTGTTGTTTACTTGATTGTGATTCACGGTTAAGAATCAAGACTCTTTTCTTTTGCTATTGAACTTCTTCATGTGGACTGTCTCGGACTGTGAAAATGTGTGTAGTTAGCCACCAGAAAAGGATGATTTTTGAAACTTCTGTTAAAGCTTTGAATGTATCTGATTGGGCTGTTTATCTTGGGGGTGGTCAGCATTGCAGAAAACATTCTGAAAGTCAAAAGAGAAGTTGAAGCTGAATTTTTTGGTGAAGATCCAAGCTGGAGTCACGTGGGAATCCTCTTGTCCTGTTATTGCCCTGGTTCTTTTTATAAACTCTTGTAGCTGTATTTTTGTTAGAAGTTCTTGTCATCTCTTAAGCTATCTCTCTTTGGAGCAGAAAGCATTAACAGAAGCCAACGATGCAAAAGTTGAAGATAATACATTGTTTAAAGATGGTCAAGATGAAGAGGCATTGTCTAAGTATGATATTGCTTTACCAGCTGTGTCCAGTATATCCAAATCTGTTGAATGGTCAGTATGCCATACAAATCATGCTGCATGTTAAATAAACTGGTAAGCTTTCATCTTGCTGAGTTGATACATGGCAAAATTGTACTTTTTGCATGTATTTCTTGAAAAGTTGCTCTTTAACTTTCTCTATATCTATGAGTTGGAATGCAGTTTTGAATGTTGTAATTGATTAGTATGGGTTGATCTTGGGTATCATTTGGCTGAGTAGTAAAACATAAAGATTGTGTTATAAAAAACTCTCTCTGCGAGAGCATTTGATGGAACTTGAGGCAAATTCTAAAAATAATATTGTAATAAAACATGTACATAGTTCATGTCTGAAACAAAGACTTTTTTTTTTTTTTTTGTTAAAGAGACAAGTGGATATTATTGCAACTGCATTGTTGTGAAAATTGTGAATGTTTAATTTAGTCTTTTTACATGATTATAGGTTTCCTTGAAGTTTCTTGACTGGTGACATTGTTATCTAGATATGGTCACATGAAGGCTGAATTTGAGTTATTATAAAGAAGATATATTGGCTCTGATAGTGATAAACGGCTAATACTCATTTTGTCTACACCTCTTCTTGCCAGATCTAAATAGACCTCGCTTTTATTATTGTTCCAATTACATTGGACAGCTGATAGATTTGAATCTTGACGAGTAGGAAAGTTGGCCATGGCAACGTGCTATGCCTTAATCTGTATGTAATCTCCTTAATGTGTCAATGGTGAACATGGAAGAAAGTCTGTTAGCTATGTCCAAATAAGGTTCCTCGAAGATCTGTTTTCATCAATCTGAGCTGTATCCCTTTCAATTTGATTTGAACTATCAAATTTGGATATCAATTCTCTTCAGCTCATAGGGGCAGACAAGATGTGCTTATCCTTAATCTTTGGAGAAGCGAAGGTACTTGTCTTAGTATTTAGAATTTTTCCTAAAACTATAATTTGTTGTCCATTAACAAGATGTACTTATCCTTTATCTTCGGAGAAGAGAAGGTACTTATCTTAGTATTTAGAATTTTTCCTAAAGCTATAATTTGTTGTCCATTAAAGTATTCTTTTCCCATTCTTTTCCCTGTGTTGGAGAGGACCCATACACTTAGCCTCCTCACTAAGCATCTTGGTGGTGGTTGCCGTTACAGCAGCCTCCATTATCTGTTGCTAATACCTGTTGGCTGATTGGCAAATAACTCCTAATGTGATATCATTATTTATATGCATTGTTTTACATATGTCATGCATTGGTAAGTTTTTGACTGGATTTTGATGAAGTTCTTTTTGGTGGTTTGTTTTACAGAAAAAAAAAATATGATGATGGTATTAAAGAATGCACAAAAGCATTGGAGCTAAACCTTAACTACATAAGTGTTTTGCTAAGAAGAGCAGAGGTGTATGAAAAGTTGTAACAATTTGAAGAGACTATAGCAGGTATGCCGGTGTAAGAATTTGAATATTTTACTGTCATTGAGCAGCTGCTGGCAACTTCTAGCACAAACTTGTGCTTATAAGAAGACTAATCTATGATTTGTGGTGGCTTTATTATATGTGTAATGGCTGCAATCTTGCTTGTTCTCTCTCTCTCTCTCTCTCTCTCTCTGTCTCTCTCTCTTTCTCACACACACAAAAGCACACACACACGCAAAGCCAATGGCATTCATTAATCTTCTCATATAGTCCATATGGCTTTTCACAATTTATTGTTTCCTATGCTGGTGTTCATTACAATATGCAGATATGACAAAGGTTTTGGAAGTTGACCCATCATATGATCAAGCTAGAAGACAGATTGTTCGCTTGAAGCCATTAGCAGATGAAAAACGTCAAAAGATGAAGGAAGAAATGATTGTTGACCATTGGTGGTATGAACTTCTTTGGGTAGTTGCTGTTAAATGATTCTTTTTTGCTCTTCACGTGTAAATATAGGAATGCTTCATTTTTGCAAAAGAAAATGTGTTCTAGGGGAGAAGAGTGGAGGAGGAGGAGAGGATCTGGAATTTTTGCAAAAGTAAAAGGAGCTAGTGTGAGCTGAGGTGGCTAGTGCATTCGGAAGATTCTGGAGGAAGGGGAAGGTTAATGTGAGCAGATAAAGCTTTGCTTCAGGTGCTGCTAAAGAATAGATGCTTGTGGAAGTGGACAAACGATTACTGAGATTAGCAAAAGGATGGTTTAAGGGAAATGTAAGCACTTCCATATATGTGAACTAGAGTGAAGGTATTTCTTATGGTATGTGTTACTGTGCTTGTGCAATTGAGCGTGCTTTTGTCTGCTTTTCCTTCATAACATTTAGTGCCTGAACAAATTGCATTTAGTTAAGCTGAGGTAGTTCAAGAATGAACTACATTTGTTTCTGTCATCATATCCTGTGATGCGTGTTGAAGTGATGGACTCATTTTGTAGTGAAGTATTTGCAAATTATTAATAGCCTGGCAGTGCTTGAAGTTGTAGAGGGCGAATTTGTTCAAGCTGTTCATGGTTTATCTTTGCTGCATTTGGAGATCATGATTAAATGAGAATAGATTCTTGTACTTTCCTGAACCCAAGGTGTAGATTTTGGAAACCATACTATGCTGATAGAACAACTCCAATCCTTTTGTTTATGTTTTTATTGAACTTCTGATCTTGGTTTGTCTGCATATTTTCAACACGCCTTGTGCAGTTGAGTCACTTTTTCTGAGTTCATTGGCAGCCAACATTATTGTTTGTGACTTTATTCTTACATTCTATGGGTTATATCTGCTTCTCCTATTCCTTTTTCCCTATTTGGCACCTCAAGCAAGGAGAGTTCATTTTGTTGAACCCTGGACAATTGCAGCAAAATCTGCTTAACTTTGTCTGCTTTACTTGGATACGGTTGATGGTGAAAGTATTTTAGGGTATCAATTATTTCCAGTTTATATGTGTGTTCAATTGCATATGATGATATCTCTCACGAAGTTGAATTGTTTACCTTTTGATCAGGTAAGCTGAGGGAAATTGGAAATTGCAATTCTGGTCAATTTGGAATGAGCGCTGACAATTTCAAAGCTGTGAAAGATCCAAACACTGGTTCATATTCTATTCCATTTCACTGCTAATATCTTTTACAAACTTCACATATATTCTTTAGTTTCTGGAGCTATGGATCAAATGGACTGAAATCTTAAAGAGGATGAAGCACGTTTCCTCACAGTGTTGATCTCAGTCGTATGATTATGTTTTTACATATAACTTGAGAAAAAGAAATTGATGTGGTTTTTTGCCATAATATGTTATAAACAGACTTAAAGTTTCACTTTACTGGAAGTTTCTTATAGTTGCTTTAGTACTTTCCATTTCTTCGTGGTGTTGTCCATGGTTTTGATACTGTTTTGGAGGGCATCTGAAGGTGCAGCATAATTTATGCTATCAACGTCTTTGTCATGATCTGTTCGGAGAGTAGCATAGAAATGTAGAACCTTGCACGCAAACAGGGAGAGAGTCCACCTCCTCTTCCCACCCATCCCAAAAAAGGGTAAATTCTGACTAGATATCATATCATAGCCACACTAAAAGTGTGTAAGCTCGGATGAACACTGAAATGGTCTGGTTACTCCGTAATTTTCATGAACTCTGGGGGTGTTTGTTGGTTGCATGATTTTTGGGCGGCTTGGGGACATGTGGGCGCAGACAGCCTCATTGAATCGGGTGCACACTCCTTCCTTTGCCTTCTCTCTCTCTTCCTTGCTCTTAATTTCAATCCTTGCTCTCTTCTAATTACCACTTTCTTTCCTGCTCTTCTAATTACCGGACCAATTTCTCCCCTTCGCTTGCTTACACCTTGCAGCACAACTCAGGAATCAAGGTAAATCTCTCTCTTCTCCTAGTCACCATACCTCCTTCCTCCTTCCTCTAGACTCCAGCCCACCACCCTTGCCGCCCCTTGCTATGTTTGTTACCAGCTTTTGTTTCGTGAGATTCGGTTGGACTTGGTTTTTGGAGCTTAATCCCCTCTCATTCCTCTTCCTCTTCTTTGCTTACATAAAATTCTCTCTCTCTCTCTACTACAATGAAATCGTTTATGCTTTTTTTTTCTTGTGGATTTTATTTCAGTAGGTTTCCATAAATCAATTTGTACTTTTTTCTTTTTTGCCAACAGTTAATTCTTGAAAAATTGAAACTTGCGGAAGAAAGGCAAATGGAAGGAAGGGACTCACTTTGGTATCTCTGAACAGGTTTTTATCAATCACTTTGCCTTACAATTGTCCAAGGTTAAAGGAATTTAGTTTCTTATATTGTAGTTACGAGTACAATGATATATGATGACGTAGTTATATATGGGGCTGTTGATAAAACCATAAAAGTGGGTAGGGCAAACTGCAGTTTAAGCCAAACAATTTAACTGCTTTCAAACATTGTACTCGCCTCAATTAATATACTTGATGAGTAGCTTCAAAATTTTTTTTTTTTGGGTCAAACGGCTCTAAGTTGCTTCATTTGTATATTGTATAGGTATTGTATAAAGCTTCAGTGGCTGCTTTGCTTTATTAGGGTCTAAAGTTGAAGTGGATGTTGCATCATGAGTTTAATGGTCCAATTAAATTTCTTAATTTAAGATTAAATCGTTGCTGGATGTTTATATCTTCTACACCCAAAGGCTGCAAATATTTAGTTTTCAAAATTTTCAAACATATACTCTGATGTACTATAAAATTTACGATTGTTAGTACCTGATCATTGTTGATGTATGTGAAGAATATTTTCTTGAAGTTTGAGCATAAAAGTTAATCTTGATTTCTTGGGCTTTTGGTCAATAGAGATTGCACTGACGTGGGCTTGAGTTAAATAGGCATCGATTTCTTTCCTCCACCTGTATCCCACGTGCAATTATAAACATCACTTTGAAGGTCTATTTTCGGTTTTCTACTTATGTTCCAGAATTCTCTCCTCTCATTCGCAGCTCTTCTTCTTTCTTTGACTTACCCTTCTTCTCGCCTGCTCTCATATACTTAAAACTCACAGTTCTTTTTTGGTCTTTCAAGTACAAACCAGGCACTTTGCTTCTTAATTCTTTTCATGGACAGATGATTTTCTCATAATTTATTTACATCCCAAGTTAAGTGGTTATTTATTGCAGTGAATTGCCTTTTGTGACAATATTTTTTGGATTCAATCCTTTAATAAATCAGGTGGTTGACTACAAGGTCTCTTTCTGCATGATTAAAATACATACAAATACCAATAAACTCTTGACAATGGAAAGACGTAACTGACGAGAGGTACTGAGGGAGAGGTTGGAAAGAGGAAGCTCTATTGAATATTCCACCCAATTTGTAGATTGTAAGTGCCATGTGGCAGCCCCAGGCTCGAGTTGATTATGTTGGTGTCACTGAACCTCCATGGCCTTCCTCCTTGTGAAGCTAATGCTATTGAATCTTCTCTCTTTTGGTTTTGGTCATTGATTTCAATTTGAACTGTGTTTTTTAGGTAATGTTTTGGTATTTATGCTTTATTTTGTTCAAAATGGAAACTTTGAAATGATCTTTGCTACAACCTAAAATATTTTGGGGTCGGGATTATCCAGGAATTTAACCCTTTTCATATGAGTTCAATTTGAGGGAATTTAACTATACATTCCATGCTTATTGTTCAACCTGCTTTGATGTATACTTCATTTATAATATGGGAGAGATGCATTACCCAGCTATTCCACTTTGGATTGGGCAAGGATGAATGGACAGTTGATAAAAGCCATTTCTCCACGAGTTATGGAAACATATTGATATGCAGCATTACGGTATCTAGGTACTCCTAAGAACGCTTTTCATGTCCCATATGCAGTTTTGTGCTCTTGATCTCATTTTATTATGGCCCAACCTGCAATTCTATTTTGTTTTAAAATTGAGTCAACATAGTCCAGTTATAGTGTAAATGAGAGCCATTTTGGGGCTGTTTTATTACCATTTCAATGAGATAGTGGAGTTAGTCTTGAGTTGGTAGGAGCTATTGGATATCCTTGCCTTTCAATGTTGGACATTGATTTTGTTTGTTAAGTCCGTTAAAACTTAAAACAGAGCATCAAGCTCTCCTGCTTATAGCAATTCCTTACTTATTTTAGTGCCTCTGTTTTCCATCTTCTACAGCCTTCTATCTTGTTTCTTTGAGGAGACTACCGATGTATTTCTTTCCAAGAAAACATGCAACTCTAAACTCTCTTTCCTGCAGCAAAAGAAAAAGACAACTTAGATATCTAGAGAAAAGATTATTATTGGGAATTGAGAAGTTTACCACCCTCTGCTGCAATCTCCTCTCTGAGATATCGGTGAATATCTACATTCCTCTCTCATCCCTCTTGAATATGCTGGAATATAGCAAACCATTTAGGTTTTTGATATATTTCAGTCATTGTATTTTCTCTATGTATTCAGTAGCTTCAGTTACTCAGTTAAATCGGCTTTTGGTAATATTCATTTGATTGTGTATTAGGTCCAGTAAAGAATGCTATTGGTGTAAGGATGATTAAATCGAAATCTTTGTGTCGCTTTCATGTTCTTAGTATCATTAGTAATAATTTTTTGTCCTAATAGACTTTACGAATCCTGTTTTTCTCACTCGATTCAGCCATTAATGTCCTTTTGCACTAATTTTGATATTTTAGCTTGAGGTAATTTTGTGCATCGCCTTCCTGTTCATTTTAACTTGATTTTGCTTAGTCCTTTAATGAGATAAATATTTCTAGCAACACTGGAGTTAGTCAAGCACACAAGAAGTTTATGTGAAAAGTAAACTATTGCAACATCTAATTTATTGTTACTTCCTTTTCTTGGATGTATTATTTCATGTTACTCTATTGGTTTACTGATTTGAACTTGATATTTAGTTGTAAATCATTTATAGTCTTTCCTTGTGAATCCGCTTTTACTTGATTTCATTTACTAGAACATTAACTTTGCAAGTATGCAGGATTCATAAGAAGAATTTAGCGTCAATTATGATTATACTCTGGACTTACTCTTAAGGCTTTTCCCTGTTCTCTGAGTTAGTTTAGAACTTTATTTAGTTTCTAAGGCATGTAATTTTACTTCTATAGAGTAACTGGACATTTGTATTTGTTTTAATGCCACGGATACGTGGGAATATCTTAAGTGGTTTTTGGTGTTTCTGATTTCTTATGTTACTGGCCTGCAACAGTTTGAACTTTTTTTTTTGTTTAAATAAATATTAAATTGCTTATCTTAGTTCTTTGATGTATAGACGAAATTTTAACATTGGATGAGTTTGTGCAAATACTTCTTCATTGAAGCATTGGCTTTTGTTGAGGTTGTTTAAAAAACAAGGCTATCGCACTACCCAAATCTGTCCAATTGGAAGCTCGAATCGGTCAAGTTCTTGGCAGGAAGTAAATTCCCGTTAACTTCACTAAAGTGTATCTCTAGAATTAACTTCAATGTAACAACAGTTAAGGTTTGCTTATGATATTTTGTGCAGCTATGTACATCGTGATTTCGTATTACTAAGTTTGCTTTCCTTTATACTATTTGTTTATCGCAATGAATTTTCCTGCATGCTTGTTGATTAAAATTCTCTGTTTCTGGTAAACAAATGAACCTCCACATGCTTTTCTTGTCCAAATTGAGTACATGATACTAATATTCTGTAATTTACCTTGGCTCCCTTCTGTTTAAGTAGCTGTAATCCATGATGTCATAGCTAATGTGTTGTCCTTTCAATGCTTCCTCCAGCCTAAAACGTTAAGACCTCATGAACACGTGTATAGTTGTCTTCAAAATTGGACAATATATTGGCCATCAGGTCTGGATGGCATTGTACTTAGAATAACATATGACGATGTTATTTGAAGCTTTTGAACTTCCTTTAGTAGCGCTGGGATACCTGTAAAACTCATATCAGGCTGTTTTCAGTTATCTAATCTTGTTAAGGCTATCATATTGTCTAGAAGATTGAGATTTCCATCCAAATGTTAGGATGATTTTGGAAGCACACGTGATGTTGGAGGTTATATCAAAAAGCTACAAATTTTTGTTAGGATGATTTTCATGATTACATGACCATATAAATGTATTTTCACAAAAATTGATTCCGTCCCTACCCTTGACTTGATCTTTAATTCGTGAAACAGAGTTAAGGCTTCTGGGATCCCTTCTGATGAGAAAGTGAAGTTTGCATATCCCTTCTGATGAGAAAGTGAAGTTTGCATATGCAATCAACATAAGAAAGCTAGTCAAGCCACCACTACCAGCAGGATACTGGGGAATTCTGACCAAGGCTGAAGACCATGTCGATCAACCGATATATAAAACAGCAGAATTGATCAACAAGAGCAAATAAATGTATCTGATGAATATGTTCGATCATTTATCGATTTTCAGGAGCTAAATTATCATGAAGGGACCACAGTAGGAGCAAAGGTGAGTGGAATTACTGATTGGAGACACTTAGGCCATTCCACAGTGGACTTTGGTTGGGGAGGTCCTGTTACAGTTTTTCCTCTGTCAAGAAACCTACTTGGAAGCGTTGAGCCCCGTTTCTTTTTGCCCTATTCTTCAGCAAATGAAGGGGAAAAGGATGGTTGTAAACTTTCTGTGTGTTTGCAAGAACATGCTGTTTCAGGTTTCAAAGAAGACATGAATAAGTTGAAGAATTTAGAGCCTAGATTCCTTTGAATGAAGGGTTTCTTGTTATCTTTGTCTATGTTCCCGTCAAATTGAAGAGGTTTCAACTTGGTGAAATTGGCAAACCTTATAAGGGTCTTTGGACAAATGACCTTTTGCCTCAACATTTTCATTTGGTCCCGCAAATAAATGGGGAGTTGAAGGCGAACAATTTTTAGTGTATGTCTAGTTATAAAATCAAAGTCAACAGGCTAAATACTCTCTCTGCAATTAGACATTAGATCAACATAATGCAAATTTTACAAGTAAAAGCTACTCGCATGTATGGCTACGGGACTGAAATCCTGATATCATACCAATTAAGAAACATGTTGATGACACGTGATTTGGATCAGTAAAGTATTGAGAGAAGCAATCAAACAATCAGAAAGACAGTCAGAATTGCAAGTTCAAGTTCCCAATAGGCAAAAGCCACAGAAATTAGTAATCAGATTCCAAGAATCATAAAACCCCCAAAACTCAGCAGCCAAATTAATTCATTAGCATCAATCAAATCAAATGTAACCCTAATCAGGTAAGAACAAACTAAAACAAAAGCAACCCACAAAAATTCATTCAAATCCAACTTCAAGAATCTACACCAGTAACTCTAGACAATTTTTCAAAGGAAAAGGGAGGGAAAAAAACTAATAAGAGACTATCATACCTCTGGAAATACTTAAGGAGTTTTCACCCTTGTTGGAGATGCTGTTGCAGGAACGGGGATGAGATGTCGCTGGATTGGTTTGCCGAAGAAGGGATTGGTTTGCCTATGAGATGTCGCTGGAGATCGTCTTTTATCGCTGCCGCAGAAGGGATCGTCTTTTATCGATGGTTTTTCGTTGAAGGCTGTGAAAGAAGTCTGATTTTACTAAAGGAATCGGTGTAACTTATTTTTCATCAGAAATCATTTTCCCAAATTAAATTGCGTCTAAACAGTGGAATGTTTGGAAAAAATGTTTTCCGTCCAATTAAACGGACCTTACTCCTGTATATTCGAGCCGGAATTGATTAAAAGCTATTATCACTTTACTTTACCGTACCATTAAATCAATTTAACGAGTTAAAGACCTTTAATCATGTATATTTTCCCGCAACTGGAGCTAGGATTGATTAAAGGCTATTATCATTTTATTTCTCTTTAATGTTTGGTACCACTATCAATTTCTCTCTTAACATTATTATCTTTTAGTCGTTTTACTCCAAAATTAACGATCAAACTTAACGAAATTTGTTAATTGAAGTGAAAGACATATTTAGCTCTTAAAATTACTATCTCTTTACTCTCATAAACTATAGCCTCGTTATCAATTTACCCCCTGGAGTTATGTATTAGGCAATTTACCTCGCCATTAAACCAACTTAGCGAGTTAAAGAACTTTAGAAAAACGATAAAAAAATTTAGAGTGACTCTTCTCCTTTTATTACCAAGAAAAAAGTCAAAGTGTTAATCTCTTTTTTCTTGACAATCTTATTAATATTAAAAAAATAGAAAGATGGGGAGAGGGAGGGTGAGGGGAGAGAGAGAGATAGAGAGCGAGAGAGAGAGAGAGAGAGAGAGAGAGAGAAGAACTCAATTCTTTTTTTAAAAAAATAAAAATAAGAAAGAATTAAATACTTTTATTATTTTAAAATTATTTCACTTTTCTATTTACCATCAAATTCCAATCATAATCCCAACAATCTTAAAATAATACGATAATGTTAGACTCTATTTTGTTTTCTTTCCTTCCAAAATCTAATTTTCTGTCTCCTTCTTTCCTATCTCCTTTTCTTTTTCTAGTATTAATAAGTGTGAAAATAATTTTTGAGAAAAAGATCTCTTAAAGTGAAAAATAAGGAAGAATAATCATTCCAACTTTTTATTTTTAATTACATATAAAAAAGAAAAATATATTTAAAAATTTTTTACCATACTAGTTAAATTATCGATGAGATAAAATATTTAGAAAATAATGTTAGGAATTAAAGCGATTGTATCACTATAATTTCAAGAGAAAAAGTGATAATAACGATGTGATAATGCTATAGAATAAAGGGGTATTTCTGTCCAAAAATTCTTAACATGTTGAGATGAATTATTTATGGGGATGAAGTGGCTAAAAGATAACGTTAAGAAATAAATTGACAGTAGTTATATAGTTTAAGGGGGTAAAGTGATAATAACCCATGATTAAATAGTCTAATGGCTATTTACTTAAGCCCAACCGTTAAATCCATCCCACCCAAGCTCACCCAACCCAACATCACTGTCATTTGTCATATGTTTTCACTTTTATTTCATCCATAGAATTAGGGTAAATTTCCCAAACCTCCCCTAAAGCTTTACACAATTACAGGTAGCTCTCCTCAAATTTAAAAAATTATATTTATCTCCCTTACTTTTACTTTTTAGGTAACAAAACCTCAAATAAGATAAGCAAAAAAAATGGTGTGAATATCCTAAACCATCCTCCTGGATTATTTTTTAAGTTCAAAATTACCTCTACCATCTCCATTCCTTTATCACTACCGGTCACTCCACACTACCATCTCTCTAGCTCCTCTTCCACTAGAAAAAAAAAAAAAAAAGACTGCAATATATGTTGAACATTAAGCCCATGTTCCATCCACTAAGCCTCCTATAAGTTCTCTCTCTCCCTCCAATAGCCAATCTATCAAGACATCAGGCTACCTATTTGATTCAATGTTGCCAAATTGTAAGGAAACTTACTA